TTTTTTGAGATGGAGTCTCACTCTGTCGCCCAGGCTGGAGTGTAGTGGCATGGTCTTGGCTCACTGCAGCTTCCACCTCCCAGGTTCAAGTGATTCTCCCGCCTCAACCTCCCAAGTAGCTAAGATTACAGGCACGCGCCACCATGCCCAGCTTATTTTTATATTTTTAGTAGAGATGGGTTTTCACCATGTTGGCCAGGCTGGTCTCGAACTCCTGACCTCAGGTGATCTGCCTGTCTCAGCCTCCCAAAGTGAGAGGATTAGAGGCATGAGCCAATGCAACACAGCCTGATTTACTTTTAAATTCTAATGTACTGTTTTCAAAGTGTAAATTTCTTTTTGTTATGGTTTCCTTCTTTCTGTTTGCTTAAGGTTTTGTGTTGTTACTCTTTCTAATTCTGAGTTTGAATACTTTATTCATTTATTTTCTGGAATAGATATTTTGAGATGTAAATTTTTTTTCTGTGTGGCTATTTTCTGCATACCTTTTCCAGTTTTAGTATATGTGCTGCCAAAGGGAGCACCTGCATACCTTTTCCAAGTTAAAATTGTCTTCTGCTCGACTGTCCTCTGAGTTGTCTGTATTCTTCTCATCATCACCTTTATCTGCATTTGCAAATACAGAGGCCACGCGAACCACAGGCAGAGGCACATCCCGAGGGACAAACCTAACTGAGCTGATGGGCATGGTCCACAGTTTAATTTTCTTAAAAGATTTGGTTTTGGCAGAATACCGTGATTCACAGACAAAAACATCTTCATCTCGGAAGTTTTCTGGGCATAATTTAAAGTATTCCTGGGGGGTGGGGGAGACAAGAATAAAACTAATTAGGTGGATTTACTGAAAAACAATCAGAGAAAAAAAAAGAAAAAAGCAAATAACGAACCACACAAACAAAAGCTAAACTGATCAGACTTTCTGTCAGTTAACAAAAAATAATAAATGACTAGAGATTTAGAAGTATTTCCTTGGCTACAGAATAGACTTATTAGATACAAATTCTTTAAATTATAAAAACAAATAATTCCATTTAGCTTACAATTGCTCTTTTAAAATGTATGAACATTTCATATAGCTATAATGTTCCTTAAAGCTTTGAAGAGGGATCATGTGTTTGTATGAGACATATACACAAAAAGCACACATAATTAGCTACAAACCAAACTGAAAATTTGTAATGATTATCTTTCAAAAAAAATCATACTTAAAAATTAGCCTGGCAATATTAAAAACTTAACCTAATTGCATTATAGCCAAATAGTGTAAGCAGCAAGTCATCTTTCATAACCATGTTCAGTTTAATTTCTTCCCAAATCATTACATTTAGCTATAGAGACACTGCTTAAAAAATAGTTTAAAACAGAATTCCTAATTTTGTAAATATCAGTATTTTCTGTGTTTTAAAATTTTATTCCTAGGGAATGAGTGATACTTTTGGGTTTAATGAGTTTCTTACCTTGACAAACATGACCACACACTTGCCTAGAATTTTACTAACGGGAACTTTGTTGTAATAGTCACTCTTAAAAACTTCTTTTTCCAGAAATTTTCGTGTAGCCAGGTGGAATGTTTCATTTGGTCGGTAAAACCAACAGCCATACAACCATTTTTCACCTCAAAAATGGGGAGTGAGGGAGGGGGAAGAGAAAGAGAATCATTGTTAACAGAAATCACTTTTTTTCTTTTTTTTTTTTTTAAAGAGACAGCGTCTCACTATGTTGCCCAAGCTGAATTTGAATTCCTGAGCCAAAGTGGTCCTCCAATCTCAGCCTCCTGAGTAGCTGGGACTACAAGTATGTATCACTGTTCCCAGCTCAGAAATCACATATTCTTTGCAAAATTAGGAAATACACCATCAATCCACTCTGCCATGACCTGAACCTAGCACTGTGCTTATTATGCTACAGTTTCTTAATATAATTATCTATAGGAGAAATAATACTCTAAAATAATAAAGTGCAATGAGACCTAAAAAATGCATGCTACTTTTCTCCTCTCTCTATATATATTATGCATCCATAACGTCTTGGGCTCAAGTGATCTTCCTGCCTCAGCCTCTCAAGTTGCTGGGACCACAAGCAAATGCCACCATGCCCTGCTAATTTTCTCAACTTTTATAGAGAGGGGATCTTGCCATATTGCCCGGGTTCTTCTTCATATTAAAAGCCGTATAAAATATATAATGAGGAGGACAGGTGATGAGACCTGCTCCACTCAGTTCTGGTTAGTACTTACCTAGAGTTGTGCACTTTAGTAAGGATATAGAGATACTACTGAAGGACATATTTAGCTCTCTGGTGAAGGAATACAAAAATATTTCATGTAATAGGCAGCTCAAAGAACTGGACTGCCTGCATCACATTTCCACCAGCTTTTGGCTTCATTAACTTCTATTCATACTCCAGTTTTCAATTTACAGGCAATTGTTCTGGAAAGCCTTTTTGAAAACAAATTCTAAGCCAAGGCACATCATTCTATAATAATTTCTTTTTTACTCATAATCTTCCTTACTAGAGTAGTTTTGCAGGGGAAAAAACATGAGCTTTTTGTTCTTCTGAATCTCTGTCATTCTACCTAAAGTTTGACTCAAAATATGTTTTCAGTAAGTATCAATTGAACGAATGAATCTCAACCAGACTTTAAGAAGTTGTGTTTCTTTTGACTCAATTGTGATACTTGCCCAATAGGTCCTATGTTTTTCATATGATAGGTGCTTGCTTACATTTATTGATATATTGAACAATTATTATAGAAAGGCATAAAAAGTCTGAGTTAAAATTTTCTTCCCTGAGGAGCAAGGAGGAGTCAAATACTCATATCTCACTAAATTGTCCTTTGATTTAAAACAATCTTACCAGCTGAATCCTCCCATAGTCTTTCAATACAGACTATATGTGGCTGTAGGTTGGCCTCTGCGGGTTCCACATAGACATAATCTCCAACATGGTACATGCTGTTCTTAAAGCTACAGTCCTGGCTGTATGTGCGATGTAAGCCTGAGAGGCCTGCAGCACCAGAGGAATCTTCACTCTTTTCAGCTTCTTAGGTAAATAAATAAATAAATAATAAGTAAGTAAGTAAGTAAATAAATAAATAAATGAAAAAGGTACTCCAAAAAGGGATGCTGGAGTCAGATGTAGGATTCAAACAACACATGCTAATAATACATTTAATTCCATTTGCAACATTCAAGGCAGGAATCAGCAATAGTATGATCTTCACATTCCAAATAGCCCCTACCCAAAATTGTATTTCTGAATTACAGCCACCATTAATTTAAATGAATATATAAGCATACAAAGGATGTATAGAATAAAAACATCACCTTACTAATATATGATCATGGGGTCATTTTGGGTAACATTGAAAGGCACAAAGAAGCACATATGTCATTTCAAATTAAGTAATTCTAGAGATAATCTCTGATATACTTCATCTCCACTTTAATACTTCTGAATGTGTTTCATTTCACAACAGTTATTATATGAATATGACACATTTAATGTAGTCTTAGAATTGAAGAAATATAGAATACATATATTCTACAATATACTATAAACTACATATATTTAATATATCATGAACACTTGTCCTGAGAGAAAATGCTTTTCAAAGTGTCTTTTATTTTTGCTAAGTAAAACTTATTAATAGTTCCAGTACAAGCTATCATTTGCAAATATCATAGGGTTTTTATTGAGGATAAAGCTTTGCCCAAATCTTTGATTACTTCCTTAGGTTAACTTCCCATAAATGGAAGAGCTAAGAATAAGCATTTTAAATGTTATTTATTTATTCTTCTGAAACAACATTAAATGCCTTTTTTCTTTTTCTTTTTGTAGATGAAATCTCACTCTGTCACCCAGCCTGGAGTGCAGTGGTGCAATCTCAGCTCATTGCAACCTCCCATGTTCAAAGGTATTCTCCTGGCTCAGCCTCCCTAGTATAACTGGGACTACAGGCCCACACCACTAGGCCTAGCTCATTTTTTGTATTTAGAAGAGACAGGGACATGGCCAGGCTGGTCTTGAACTCCTGACCTCAAGTGATCTGCCCGCCTCGGCCTCCTAAAGCACGGGGATTTACAGGAGTGAGCCACCGGGCCTGGCTATCTAAATTTTCAAATAGTTTTTCTAGTACTGTAAAGAATGTTATTGGTAATTTGATAGGATTAGCACTGAATCTGTAAATTGCTTTGGGCAGGATGGCCATTTTAAGGATATTGATTCTTTGTATCCGAGGGCATGGAATATTTTTTCATTTGTTTTTGTCATCTCTGATTTCTTTGAGCAGTGAGTAGTTCTCATTGTGGGGATCTTTCGCCTCCTTGGTTAGCTGTATTTCTAGGTATTTTATTCTTCTTTTTGTGGCAATTGTGAATGAGATTGCGTTCCCGATTTGGCTCTTGGCTTGGCTGCTGTTGGTGTATAAGAATGCTAGTGATTTTTGTACACTGATCGTGTATCCTGACACTTTGCTGAAGTTGTTTATCAGCTGAAGGAACCTTTGGGCTGAAACTATGGGGTTTATTAGATACAGAATTATGTCATCTGCAAACATGGATTGTTTGACTTCCCTTCTTCCTATTTGAATGCCCTTCATTTCTCTCTCTTACCTAACTGCCCTGGCGCGGACTTCCAATACTGTGTTGAATAGGAGTGGTGGAAGAGAGCATTCTCGTCTTGTGTCAGTTTTCAAAGGAAATGTTTCCAGCTTTTGGTCATTTCAATATGGTGTTGGGGATGGCTATGTAATAGATGGCTCTTAATATTTTGAAGTATGTTCCTTTAATACCTAGTTTAGAGTTTTTAACACGTCAAAAGCCTTTCTACCTATTGAAATAATGTCGATTTTGTCTTTAGTTCTGTTTGTTTTGTTTTAGATAGTCTTGCTCTGATGCCCAGGCTGGAGTGTAGTGGTACCATCTCGGCTCACTGCAAACTGTACCTCCCAGGTTCAAGCAATTCTCCTGCCTCAGCCTCCTGAATAGCTGGGATTACAGGCACCCACCACAATGCCTGGCTAATTTTTGTATTTTTAGTAGACACGGGGTTTCACCATCACGGCCAGGCTGATCTTGAACCCCTGACCTCATGATCCACCTGCCTTGGCTTCGCAAGGTGCTGGGATTACAGGCATGGCTTTATTTTTTTTTGAGACAGAGTTTCATTCTGTCGCCCAGGCTGGAGTGCAGTGGTGCGATCCTGGCTCACCATAGTCTCTGCCTGCGGGGTTCAAGTGACTTTCCTGCTTCAGCCTCCTGAATAGCTGGGACTACAGGTGCACACCACCACATCTGGCTAATTTTTTTATTTTTAGTAGAGATGGGGTTTCACCATTGGCCAGGTTGGACTTGAATTCCTGACCTCAGGTGATCTGCCCTCTTTGGCCTCCCAAAGGGCTGGGATTACAGGCATGAGCCACCACACCCGGCCATCTTTATTTCTTTTTATGTGATGAATCATATTTATTGATTTGCATCCTTGCATCGCAGGGATAAAGCCTACTTGGCCATGGTGGATTAGCTACTTGATGTGGTGCTGGATTTGTTTTGCTAGTTATTTTCTTGAGGATTTTTACATTAATGATCATCAAGGCTATTGGGCTAAAGTTTTTTCTGTTGTCTCTGCCAGGTTTTGGTATCAAGATAATGCTGGCCTCAAAGAATGAGTTGGGAGGAGTCCCTCTTCCTCAGTTTTTTGGAATAGTTTCAGTAGAAATGGTACCAGCTCTTCTTTGTGTATCTGCTAGAATTTGGCTGTGGATTTGCCTGGCCATGGGCCTTTTTTGGTTGGTAAGCTATACATTATTAATTCAATCTCAGAGCTTGTTATTGGTCTGTTCAGGGATCCAATTTCCTCCTGGTTTCAGTTTTGGAAGGGTGTATGTGTACAGGAATTTATCCATTTCTTCTAGATTTTCTAGTTTGTGTGCATAGAGGTGTTGATTAGTCTCAATGGTTATCTGTATTTCTGAGGGGTCAGTGGCAACATCCGCTTTGTTGTTTCTAATTGTGTTTACTTGGATCTTCTCTCTTTTCTTATTAGTCTAGCTAGTGTGTCTATCTTACTAATTTTTTCAGAAACCAACTCCTAGATTTGTTCATCTTTTGAATGTTTTTTCCTGTCTCAGTCTCCTTCAGTTCAGCTCTGATTTTGATTACTTCTTTTTTTTCCTGCTAGCTTTGGGGTTAGTTTGCTCTTGCTTTTCTAGTTATTTCTGTTATGAAGTTAGGTTAATGTGAGATCTTTCCAGCTTTTTTTCTTTTTTTTTTCAAAAACAGAGTCTTGCTCAGTCACCCAAGCTGCAGCGCAGTGGCACGATCTCAGCTCACTGCCACCTCTGCCTCCTGGGTTCAGGTGATTCCTGTGCCTCAGCCTCCAGAATAGCTGGGACTACAAGCATACACTGCCACAACTGGCTAAATTTTGTACTTTTAGTAGAGATTTTGCCATGTTGGCCAGGGTGGTCTCAAACTCCTAGCCTCAAGCAATCCACTCTTTGGCCTCCCAAAGTGCTTGGATTACAGGCGTGAGCCACTGTGCCTGGCCACTGACCTTTCTACCTTTTTGATATGGGTGTTTAATGTGATAAATTTCCCTCAACACTGCCTTAGCTGTGTCACGGAGATTCTGGTATGTTATGTCTTGTTTTCATTCGTTTCAAAGAACTTCCTGATTTCTACCTTAATTTCATCATTTACCCAAAAGTCATCAAGGAGCAGGTTGGTTAATTTCTATATAATTGTATGGTTTTCAGTGATTTTCTTAGTCTTGATTTCTATTTTTATTGTGTTGTGGTCAAAGAGAATGGTTGGTATAATTTTGCTTCTTCTGCATTTTTTAAGGATTGTTTTATTAAGGATTGTTAACACATAATATTTTTAACATATAACAAATATAATATTTTTAAGGATTGTTCAATTGTGTGATTGATTTTAGAGTATGTGTCATGTGGTAATAAGAAGAATGTATATTCTGTTGATTTTGGGTGGAGAGTTCTGTAGATGTCTATCAAGTCCATTTGGTCCAGTGTTGTGTTCAGTTCTGGAATATCATTGTAAATTTTCTGCTCTGATGGTCTAATACTGTCAGTGGGGTGTTAAAGTCTCCCAGTATTGTGTGGGAGTTTTTTTTTTTTTTTTTTTTTTTTAAGAGATGAGGTCCTGCTGTGTTACCCAGGATGGTCTTGAAGGCCTAGGTTCAAGCAATCCTCCTGCCCTGGCCTCCCACAGTGTTGGGGTTACAGGCGTGAGCCACTGTACCCGGACCTTTTTCTTTTTTATTGGGTGGGGGTGTAAGTCTCTCAGAAGGTGTCTAAGAACATGCTTTACAAGTCTGGGTACTTCTGTGCTGTGTACATATATCATTTAGGATAAGTCTTGTTGAACTGAACCCTTTACCATTAAGTGATGCCCTTCTTTGTTTTTTTTGTTTTTTGTTGGTTTAAAGTTTGTTTTGTCTGAAATTAGATTGCAACCCTTGCTTTTTTCTGTTTTCCCATTTGCTTCGCAGACTTTTCTCCATCTCTTTATTTTGAGTCTATGGGTGTCATATGGGTCTCATGGGATGAGAGATGGATCTCTTGGAAGACAGAATCCCATTAGACCTTGCTTATTTATCCAGCTTCCCACTCTGTGTCTTTTAATTGGGGCATTTAGCCCATTTACATTCAAGGTCAGTATTGATGTGTGGATCGGATCTTGTCATTGTGCTGTTAGCTGGAAGCAATCTTGTTTGTATAGCTGCTTTATAGTGTCATTGGTCTATATACTTGTGTGTTTTTGTAGTGTCTGATAACAGTCTTTCCATATTTAGTGCTTCTTTTGGGAGCTACTGTAAGGCAGGTATAGTGGTAACAAATTTCCTCAGCATCTGCTTGAGGGAGAAGGACCTTATTTCTCCTCTGCTTATGAAGCTTGCTTTGGCTGGAAATTATTGGTTGGAATTCCTTTTCCTTAAAAATGTTGAATATAGGCCTCCAATCTCTTCTTGGCTTGCAGGGTTTTTGCTGACAGGTCCACTGTTAGCCTTTTAGACTTCCT